TCTGGAGAAAGTGATCTATATACAGTTGCAGGCCCACCTTGATTTTGATCTAAAAGGCTGAGCCCCCTCTTCCCTATTCGAGCTCCTATTTATTCATGCTTCAGAGAGAACCGTGCGGTCCAGTTCCAACCTATGTTATCTATTCCATGGTCTAAACAGAGCCTTCTGTGTGGCAGGTCCCACACTCTGTAATAGTCTGCCTCTAAATATTAGATCTGCACATTTGTTGGATTTCAGCACGAGGTAACCCACACATTGTTGTTTTAGTTCTTTCTATTGTCTTATTGTTTTATTGTCTTCTTTTTTATATTTAATTGCAAAATTGTTGTACATTTTACTTTTTTAGTTGCATTTTAGTTTGCAAAGCACTTTGTGCAGCATGAGCTTTTGGAAATGTGCTATATAAATAAGCTTGACCTTGACCTTGATTTAAGGTCACATGCTAATGGCTACGTTAGATACAAAGCCCCAAGTAGAGAGAGTAAAAATTCTAAAGCTGTAGCTAAAATGACCACCAATCACATGGCCTCTGATCAGGATTTGATGGTCATCTGTGTAAAATGCAGACCTGAAGTTTAGTCATACAAACTTTGATATACATTAGACTCAATCTATAACATATACAGGCAGGCATTTACGTCTTTTGACCGTTGATCCTCATCACTGAGTTTCCCTGAACAACAAAGTGTGCATAAACAACTTGCATATTCAAAACTGTGAAACCATTTTCCTTGATAAAACCCCTCTCCTCAAATATGGATTCAATAATATGATTATAGGTTAAAGACTTGCCTTCATAAACTCATTGTTTTAATATGATCATTTAATATAAAACAAATTCCACAAATATTTTGACCAAACAACTTCAGTGATCTCATTGATAAGACTGACCACACTTTAAGACTGGGATGGTAGAGCAGGACGCCCACTAATCAGAAGGTTGGGTGGAAGGACTGGATCCCCAGTCTGGATGCCAAATAACCTTGGGCAAGATAATAACCCTAAGTTGCTCTCCGATGCATCCACTGGAGTATGAATGTGCATGAATGTTAGATAGAAGCACACAAATAGAAACATCATAAGGAAAAAGTGTTTGTGTGAATGGGTGAATGAGGCAAGTTGTGTAAAGTGCTTTGAGTGCTCGGTGTAGAAAAGCTCTATATAAGAATCATTTACCATTTATCATCACCACAATAACCGTTGCCCCTCCCCTTTTACTCCAAGCAAGCATCATCAGAGTCCACTGTCCACGTTAATGAGATCCCAGTGTTTGCGCTTCCTCTTGGAGGGAGTACAAATATGAAACATCTGCAATTTTCTTTGGGCCACGCTGGACCTTAACAAATAACATAGACTCATCCAGAGGTCTGCATCAGTGTATTCATGTTTTTGTGAGCAGCTGCTATATAAAAATATGAATTCAATTAAATTCAGTTATACTGCTCTGTGGCTTCAGTGCACACAGTTTGTTATCAGGGTGAAAGTGTTGTTAATATGAAGGGCATAAAAAGAGTTCTAACACCACAGCAGCTACTTCCTGTAGTTTAGTTTGAAGCTGATGACACGTCTCTGTTCTGGTGTGGGCAATGACACTGTTTATATTTTGAGAACTTGCGCTGTGGTCAAGTCTCAGCCTGCACTGAAAAAGGTGCCAGCTCTCTGGTTGGTCATCATCAGCTAGTCATTTGTTTCTCAGCAGAAGCATCGAGAAATGGAAAAAGAAAGACCATGAAAAGCTACAGCTATTTACAAACGTTACATACATAGGTCAATCTGCACACAGTCTTTTTAGCTGTGGTCTAACTGGTCTATGCTGTGTCTAAAGCTTGGTACCCCAGTTTTGACCAAACTAGGTGGGGTTTTGGTTCTATGAAAAGTACATACCAAAACAGTTCTAATGTTTGCAGAGGCCAAACACCAACATTAATATTAGGCACACTTGCTTGGCAGTTAAATTAAAACAGGTCTAAAGAGCTGACCCAGACAACTCTTTAACACAACGACTGAACATTTTCTGAAATTTAAATCATACTAAAATGTGTAGAAAATCAGCCTGTTAAATAATATACACAGACAAATAAAAAGTCCTTTAAAATCATTAAATAACACATAAATCAAAGTTATATTTTCACCAGTTGTTCATTAACTCAGACAGCCATGTCCTAAAGAGACTGATTTTACACCAGTGTACAGGCTACAAGGTTAATTAAATCAAATTGAATATCTATGTCGACTTAAGACTTAAAACTAGCTATTTTTAATATGTCATACAAAGGTCACACTAAATATACCCACATGTGAGCCCACTTTCACCCTCACACTTGCTTAAAATGTTGTGGGCCTGTTAGTTGCTCACTCTGACACGGCTGTGAAGCACCTCGATTCACACAGGTGCTGCACCACTGCTCACTGTTACTGCTTCACTGTTTCACATGGGAGCTGGAGCTGTTACTGGTGAGAGGTCGGCTACACCAGTTTATCACAGGACATTTAGAAATGTGACTTAATCTTTCAACAAAGTCACCAAGAACTATGAAGTTTGTAATGATGTTTCCTGTTGTTTGAAATGTGTGTGTTTGTGTTCAGACTTTAAACCACAGCCAGACGACCGTCTACTCTTCCGAAGTAGACAGTCCAACCACTGGACGTCCAGCTGCTGGTCTCTAACTGGTCCCCCAGCACCTCGAGACCAGAAGACATCCACATGTTAATTTTTCACTGATATAAACTAAAATGATTCAAAACTTCAAAAACCATATGAGGATATATTTTTAACTGAAAATTTAAATGTGTATTTTGCTGCAGTGACAAAGAATATAAATATGTTAATGTGTTTCATGGCCAGAGCTTCACTGTTTATATTTAAGTATGACTCAAACACCTTGTTCTTGTTCCCTCAGCTACTACTTAATTTCTGCGTGTGAATAATAAATCTTTGCTCTCACTTATTTTCCTCGTGTGGTTAAAAGGAAATGAGTCACATATAAAGTCTGCTGCCGTCTACTGGTAACACTGAGCAATACAATAGAGCTCGAGCCAAATATCACAATTATCTATGATATTGATAGAGAGAAAGACACATTTACATTCCAGCTCCAAGCAAAGCAGCTGCTTTTCACATGACAATACTTTGACAGTGTGATATCTTTCAATTGACTCCTGAAGTCATTTGTGTTTAACTGCTTTTTACCAAAATAATGGTTCCCAGAGTGGCAGCAGGGGCGTCTAACAAAGTCATGAAGGCATTAAGGGGCTTCCACCAAATTATACAGCATGTCTATAACTATATGTAGATTATCAGAGCTCCATTGTAGTTTTAGGTCATGATTCTGTCTTGTGATACAAAGACTTTTTCTGAATACATTGAATTTTAGCTCTGCAAATAATAAATCACTCTCCAAATTACTTAATGGCAACGTGGAGCAGGAAATGGGGTTTATCACTACTGTGTTGGGCTATTGTTGCACCACAAACTTGTAAATAAACCCACTGTATTACTAAAGAGAGTCTGGGCCTGAGTCCATTCAGCTTGTGATAGTCCAGCTGTTGATCAGCACCATGGACAGCACTCACACACACTGATATTCAAGCTTATGTTTTAAACTCACACCATCTTCTTCAACTGGACCAGCACTGGCGTAAAATAGATTGTGATTATAAAGCTGCAAGTAACTTTTAAAGATGTGATATGATTGACCGAGAGTATTTTAGAAGTTGAATAGTTCCATAAATGTATTGTATTTGCCATCTACAATAATAAGTGGAAGAAAAAGGATGGATGGAATTTCTTCCTGGAATCACTTTATGTTTAAAAACGCCTCTAGCATCCAGCGCACTGCTGAGCACCTTCTTCATATGTTATTAGAGCAGATGCATGAAGCACATGTCTAAATATAACCATTTCAATCACAAGTGACTGAAAGTCAGAGATCTTTCTGTTGACTGTGTGTTTCGTCAAACATGGTGTAATTATTCTCTGGTGAAAAGTGCACTACTTTTTGAAATCACATCAACAAACCACAAACAACACCTGCCTAAATATTTGCCAACACATAGTTTCCATGTTATGACCTTAGAAATGGGAGCAGGGAGGAGCACAAAACAAGATTTCCTGAATGTCAGAAGAACACATAAATTTGAAAATCCAAAAAGTTCTGTAACACTCACACTCTCCACAACTTATTTAATTACCATCTCAAAAATATGTGTAAATGAAGAGAATCTTTATCCACAGTGACACTGAGGGGCGACCGTGGCTCAAGAGTTGGCAGTTCATCTTGTAATCGGAAGGTTGCTGGTTCAAGCCCCGGCTCGGACAGACCCAGTTGTTGTGTCCTTGGGCAAGATACTTCACTGACTGGTGGTGGTCAGAGGGCCCAGTGGCGCCAGTGTCCGGCAGCCTCACCTCTGTCAGTGCGCCCCAGGGTGGCTTGCCATCACCAGTGTGTGAATGGGTGGATGACTGAACATGTAAAGTGCTATACAAATACAGACCATTTACCTTAAAAAATGTATTTTCAATAGATACAGACATATTTATTATGTTAATGTCTTTTAATCAAACTATGACAACATCGTTGATAATCTGCTTGTATCCATGTTAGTATTTAAAGTCCAACATCTCCCTCTAGTGGCCTATATAAACATGTGTGAGGATGGTGTTAATGTAAAATGTGAATCATAGTGTTCCAGTCAGTCATCAGTGTGTCTCTGCACAGCTGTAATTAAAATGTGTTCAGAGGGCCTCAGTGTCTGAATGGTTCCAGTTCAGCTCCATAACAGCAGCGTCCCTGGTTTGATTCCTGTGTTTCAGCTCATATCTGCCTCTCTCACTGAGGGGACGTACCACACACACACTGACACCTCACTGTCTCTTGAACCAATAGAAAGCTGGTGCTCAGAGGAAGAGGGCGGGCTTTACTTGGTGTCAGTAGACAGAAATGAAAAAAAGCTCAAATGAGTGAGAAGGACGATGAAGGAAACATCTGTGCTGTGTCTGCTCTGTAAGTAGAATCTCTGTGTTTGTTTGAATTCTTGTACTTTGACTGTCTGCTCTCCTGATAACTGATGATGGAGGAGAAGACATGAAAAACAAATCAGGCTGAATTCAAGTTCAAACACCACGAGGACCAACTGCAGGTCTGAACTGACTCTTTATCTTTGCTCAGGAGTCGAGGAAACACAGGGTTAAGAAAATGAATGCATGGATGGATGGATGGATGACATATGCTAGCAGCTGTTTGTTAGCTTTAGGTATGTTTTATTCAGTTTTATTCACCTTTGTTATCCAAACTTTATTAAAAAAATATTGCTGATGTCAAGCTGACACGAGCTTGGAAATTAGAATTGGCTGGGCTGCACTACGAATTCTGGGATAGGTTGGGCCACAAAGGATACACCCCACCCATCAGTCAAATCTAGGGAAAAGGAGGACGCATTTGTCCCCACATTTGGAGCAGTCTTCGAATTTGGATAGCCTTGGTCGCATCGCTGTGATGTAATTGCCTACAAATGCGGCCGTCAAAGCATGCTGCCCCTGAATTTGGACACAGCAAACCTGCATGCTCTGCTGACAGTGTTGGGAAGGTTACTTTAAAATGTATTCCACTACAGATTACAGAATACATGCCCCAAAATGTATTTTGTAACACCAGAGATCCGCCAATCTCTGAGCGCGCACGTGTTAGCGAGATAGTTTACTCTTAAATATATTGTCCACTACAGCAGGAGGATAGGTAACACACAAATACATGCCCCATACACTATCTATTTATTCTAAGCATTCATCTACATATTAGCTTCAGATAGTTATGAGACGAATTTCCGCTCTATTACAGAAATACATGCCCCAAAATGTATTTTGTAACATATTCTGTTATGTTACTCAATGTTATGCAAGTCAATCAGAGTAACGTATCCTGAATACTTTGGATTACTTAATATATTATCATGCTTTTTACAACTACATGAATGTACTATTGCTGAAGGCTACTTTCCATACTTATACCAAATAGATTTTTAAACATTAATATAAAATGAGTAACAGTAGGACTGACATTAGGTACGGCTGCACTTTTTGCAGTGATCTCGTGATCTCCGCACGTATATAAAACAGGTCTGCAGCTCTAAACCGTAGTAAAGGGACCTCTGGCTAATACGTCGGGTTCTGTGTCGGACTCGTAGCCAGGTTCGTATTCTGTTACTCCCCAACACTGTCTGCTGAGCAGCCCTGTCTTATTGCTCCTGAGCACAGTATCCTAAGCTGCCTGAATCTGAACCTCTGGGGCTTGAGCTGTCGACAAATCCTCAGGCAGTGGATCCTTCAGGTCGGCCCCTTAGTGTCTCCTTCTCCACCAATGTGGGGTTCCTACCATGCCACCAGATGAGTCAGATCAATTATGCAAATTCTCTCCATCAAACGGGCGGACTAAAAGCTGACGTGTACCGTAAACCTACATATATGGATCAGTATTAAGGTTTGACTCTCATCATCCACTGGAGCACAAACTGGGTGTCATCAGGATCAGGACGCTACAACACAGAGCGAACACCATCCCCACTGACACAGCGGCCAGGGAGGCAGAAGAACATCACTTCAAGAAGGCTCTGAGTAAATGTGGTTATCCCAGCTGGACTTTTGTCAAAGCTGGGAAGGCACCTAAAGAAAGCTCCAGCCGATCCAGGAGAGAAGGACAACCGCTGCCCAAGCAAAAACCTGTAGTGATCCCATATGTGTCAGGAGTATCGGAGCAGTTGAGATGCATTTTTTCTAAACACCGGGTCTCTGTGGCTTTTAAACCCCAAAACACGCTGCGCCAAAAATTGGTCCACCCCAAGGATCGGGTCCCCCGACACAAACAGAGTAACATAGTGTACGCTGTTAAGTGCCAGGAGGATTGCCAGGATTTATACATCGGGAAAACCAAACAACCTCTGGCGAAGCGGATGGCACAACACAGAAGAGCTACCTCGTCAGGCCAGGACTCTGCAGTCTATTTACACCTACAGGCCAGTGGACACTCTTTCAAGGATGAGGATGTACACATCCTGGACAGGGAGGAACGCTGGTTTGAGCGCGGAGTCAAGGAGGCCATTTACGTGAAAAGGGAAAGACCATCTCTGAATCGAGGAGGGGGCCTAAGGGTACATCTTTCGCCATCTTACAATGCTGTGATTGCAGCCATTCCCCAACTCTCTGTGAATGGTACTCATGGCCATTGATCAGTGGGTTTTGGTCAGTGGTTGTTGATCAATGGTCATGAGAATTTGCATAATTAAGATTAAGGAACTGACCTCCCAGCCCATTGTTCCTTCAGTGGGCTGGTTTCAGTCATTATGCAAATGTACTGTTTATAAGATTGAACCTGCAGTCAGCTGAGACTGAAGAAGTCACTTGGATGAGTGACAAAACGTTTCTTCCACAATCAACTATTTGGAGATTGCTGTTTGCTCAATTCACCAGCCTTCCGAGTCTCTTCTTTGATGATGACCTCCTGAAGGGCCCTAATAGTTGCGTAACTATTTTTAAATCCCTGTAGAACTGGAACCACGTAAGCTAGTGCAATAAAAAAAAATTTGCATATGAAACCGGAGCAGTTGTACTTACATCTTATGCCATCAGCTTGCCCTTCCACATATAGATTTGCAAAAATTGCATAAAAAACCCTTGCAGCAACAAAAACACAATATTCCAGAAACACGCTTTGCCGATTCGATCATAGCACTTCCTACGTTGGAATAGATGTCAGCGCGAACTATCGCATGTCCGCCATTATCTGATGTCATTTTGCAAAAAAGGTAGTTTTTTACCTTCAGGGCCTTATAAGCCTATACTGCTGTTTTTAAATGTCATGTTTTATGCTTTTGTGTATCGTTTCTGGGATGCTTAGAACTCAAATTGCACTGCTGGGAATAGTTTATTTTGATGCATATGCTGTTTTTTGCAAATTTGCATTATAATATTTATTTTCATTTTTCCTGCAGTAAATAAAAATTGGCGTATCTCAAAAATAAAACTACGAAGACATTTTTTTGTAATTTATGTAGTTACTATGCACTCATATCATTAAAATTTGGGATATAACGGTTGAATTGATGGATAGCAACTTGAAATGATCCCAAAAATGGCGCTACAGCATGTAAAAATATAAAGATTAAGCTCTGGCGGACTTGGTTCTATGGTAGGTCTTAAATGGTTAATGGAAACTTTCTAGGCTTAGGCATGAATATAAATGGTTACAATAATCTAGCCACATGGAAAGAAAACAATAAATAACTGTCTTTAAATTTCCTTGAAATGAAACTGAACTTGGACACGTTGTGGTATGTGGTTTAGTTGCATCAGTGCCAGTAGGTGATGGTTGATGTAGTTTGTATCTATTTTTAAGTTTCTAAGTTTCTTTTTTTTCAGTTAAAAGGGTTTAGTTATTGGAAAGAGGGCGCTTCCTCAGTTTGTCAGCTGTTTGTGTGGAGTTGTTCTTTATGTTCACCTCAAATCAACCTGAGTGTCATTTCTCTTTAGTTCTGATCTCACTGCTGAGCTGCACAACAAACCAAGGTCAGTAACCTTCTTCTGTTACAGTTTGAACCTGAGAAATGCTCACTGATATGACCTGATTGGGTTCATGCTTCACAATGTAAAATCAAACAGATCATCAGTTTTTCACTTTAACCCTCACAGCTCGTCTGACTGTGAGTCCCAGCAGCTCTCAGTTCTTTGAAGGAAACGTTTTGTCTCTGAGCTGTGAGGAGGACGACAGCTCTGCTAGATGGACTCTGAGGAGAAACACAAGCAAACAACAGAGGACTTGGTGTGGAGATGGGTGGGGAAAACCAGCTGGTTCTTCCTGTAACATCATCTACATTTAC